GTAGTAGTAGTAGTAGTAGTAGTAGTAGTAGTAGTAGCAGTAGTAGTAAAGTAGTAGTAGTAGTAGTCGTAGAAATATTAGTTATACGAACATTAGTAGTACTAGACGTGGTGGTAGATGTAGTAGTCGTAGTCGTAGTCGCAACCATGGCAGTAGTCGTAGAAGCAAAAGTAGTAGTAGCAGCAGGAGTAGTAGTAGTAGTAGTAGTAGTAGTAGTCGTAGTAGTAACAGCAGGAGCAATAGTAGTAGTAGTAGAAGTAGTAGTAGTAGTAGTAGTCGTAGCAGTAGTAGTAGTAGTTAGTAGTAGTTAGTCTAGAAGTAGTAGTAGAGGTAGTAGTAATATAGTCCAAGAGTAGTAGTAGTAGTAGAAGTAGTTAGTAGTAGAAGTAGAAATAGAAGTAGTAGTAAAAAAAAAAACAGATATTAATAAAAGTAGAAGTAGAAGTAGTAGTAGTAGTAGTTCCTGTAGTTGTAGTAGTAGTTTTTAAGGGGGGTAGTATTAGTAGTAGTAGTTAGTAGTAGTAGTAGTTAGTTAGTAGTAGTATTAATAGTCGTAGTAGTGGTAGTAGTAGTAGTAGTAGTAGTAGTAGTAGTAGTTAGTAGAGCTAGTAGTAAGTAGTAGTTTGGTAGTAGTGGTAGTAGTAGTAGTTAGTAGTAGTCAGTAGTAGTAGGTAGTAGTAGTAGTAGCAGTACTAGTAGCAGTAGTAGTAGTAGTAGTAGTAGTAGTAGTAGTAGTAGTAGTAGTAGTAGTAGTAGTAGTAGTAGCAGCAGCAGCAGCAGCAGCAGCAGCAGGAGTGGTAGACGCCGGTAGGCCAACGGACGAAGCAACCAGCCAACCAGCCCAGGGCCGCCAACCAGCCAGCCACGCATCTCCTGCAAGGGTTCCAGGGGCAGACGCAATGTTTCCGATGAGGCCCCGTCTGCGGGGCCCCCCCGAGGGTCGCCAATCAACCAACCCACCACGGGCGGCGGGGCTGGCGAAGCCAACATATGATGACCTCCCGTTCGCCTCTCCTCCTCGTCGTCGTCGTCCTGGTCCTTGTCCTCCTCGTTCTCGTCCACGTCCTCGTCCTCCTCCTCTCTTTCTCCTCCTTCCACTCCGACGCCCCCCTTCCTCCCCTCGAGCCCCTCCCCCGCCCCCTCCTCGAAAAAAGTCCGCCGCTCCATTGCCCCCCCCCCCTCCTCTCCCGTCCTCGTTTTCCTCTCTTCTCCTCTCTTCCCTCTCTCAGAGACGATCGAAACTTTCAAAGCTTCTCAAAGAGTTACCGGGGAATGTCCGATTTTCCCGGGGGTGAATCCGATTTAACCGCGAAATTTTTATAATCATGACGCAACGCGCCCCCCCCGCCGCGTGGCTCCGGCACCTCAGCCGCGACCGCGCGCGCGACGGGACGCGCGCGAGCGACGAGCGACGAGCGACGACGACGACGACGCGAGCACCACGCAGGTGGCGATATGCCCCACTGCGCCTGTGCACGCCGCAGCGTTCGCGCGCAACACACAGCGCGCGCGTATGCCACACCGCCTGCGTACACCGCAACAAAGGCGCGCAACGCAGCGCATGTGCACACCACAACGCTTGCGCGCGTAGGACTGGTAGAAGGAGCATGCACGTGGGGATCTGCTGCGGACAACCAGACGCCACGCCAGAAAGGGCTGATAATCGAATGCGACGTTCTTCCCTCCTCCCTTCTCCTCCACCTCCACCACCTCCTCCTCCTGTTCCTCCTCCTTTTCCTTCTCCTCCTCCTCCTCCTTCTCCTCATCCCCCTCCTCTTCCTTACCCTCTGTCGTGCGGGTTGGCGCTACAGCCAACGTGCGCATCTCAGCGCGCGCCGAATAATGGCTGATTGAATCGGTCCACTTAGTTCTCGGACGGCCAATTTACCTGGAGCCTCCATTTTGTCACAAGGATTTGTTCCAACATTCTATCTGCAACAGTGGTGCTGCGTTGCACAAGGTTGCTGTGGTGCACCCAGGCGCCGTGGTGCACACAGGCACTGCAATGCACGCAGGCATTGTGGTGTACACTGGTGCTGTGTTGCACACCGCTGATGTTGTGTATGCAAGCGCCGCGGTGTGCACAAGAACTGTTGTGCCCGCAAGCACGGTGGCACAAAACGGACGCTGCGTTGCACGCGGCTGCTGTGGTGTACACAAGCGGCGTGATGTACACAGGCGCTGTGGTGCACGCGGGCACTGTGGTGTACAGAGGCAGTGTGGTGCAAATCGCCACCTACATATTGGCGCTACCCGTCCTCCGCCATTCCTAAGCATTCCCATGCGCCGCCGGCGCGAGACGTGACGCCATCGACCCCCGTCCACCCCCCCTAGATGATTGCCGCCATCGGCCCGGAATACAAAACAGGCTTCAGCCGCGTCCGCGCTCGCCTTGGGAACATTCGGCAGCGCTTTCAAACCGAGGGGTGGGCCCCCCCCAAACACACGGCGCCGTCGACCAAAACCAGCGTGACTCTCCTCCCCCCCAAACCCCCCCCCCTCCCGAACCCCCCCTCGTTTCCCAAGGCTTCCCTCGACGCCGGCGCCGGCGCTGGCGGCCGCCAGCGGCGCCCACGGCGGGACGCAGCGACAATGACCAGAGGCAGCCCAGGGGGGGGTGGGGGTTTCAAACCCCCCTCTTCCCTCCCATGGCGCCGGGGGTTGGCGTTCAAACACCCCCCGCTCCTCGCGCCGGCGCCGGCGCTGGCGGCGGCCAGCCGCGCCGGCGCTGGCGCCAGCGACGGCGGGGACGCAGCGACGATTACCAGCACCAGCACCACCACCACCACCACCACTACCACCACCACCACCGCCTCAACACACCACCACCACCACCAAAAACAGCACCACACAACCACCACCACCACAGCCACCACCACCACCCCACCACCACCACCAACAGCACCACACAACCACCACCACCGCCACCACAGCCACCATCACCACCACAACCACCACCACAAGTCACCATCATCACCAAACCACCACCACAAAAAACCCACCACCATTACCACCATCACAACAGTCCACCACACAACCACCACCACCTCCACAACCACCACCACTACCAGCAGCACAACCCACCGCCACCACAAACCACAACACCACCACCACCACCGCCACCACCACCACCACCACCGTCACAACAAACGCCCACAAACCACCGCCACCGCCACAACCCACCACCACCTCCACCACAAACCACCACAAACCACCACCACACCACCACAACCACCACCACCACAACTCACCATCACCACCACCACCGAAAAAACCAAACACCACTACGACAACCACCACAATTTACACACCACCACCACCGCCACAACCACCACCACCACTACCAGCAGCACAACCAACCACCACCAACACCACCACAAACCACCAGCACCACACCACCTCCACCGCCACCACCACCACCACCAGCACCACTTACACAAGCCACCGCCACAACCACAACCCACGACCACCACAACCACAAACCACCACCACACCACCACCAAACCACCACCACCACCACCACAACCCACCACCACCACAAACCACCACCACACCACCACCAAACCACCACCACCCACCGCCACAGCCACCACCACCACCACAGCAAACCACCACACCACCACCACCACAACCACCACCACCGCCACCCCCACCACCGCCACCACCACCACCACCACAACCCACCACCACCACCACCATCGTCGTCTTCGTCGATGCTCCCCGCCACCGCCGCCCGCCGCCGCAGGTGCCGGCGCCGGCCCAGAAATGGAAATCGTCGTCCCCGCCGCCGTCGCCAGCCGCCGCCGACGCAAGCGCAGGCCCGAGGAGGGGGGAAGCACGGGGGGGGGCCGGTTCCACCCCCCCCTCCCTCCAAGCGACCAAGGAACGCGCTTTTTCAAAGAAAGGGGAAGAAAGAGGGAGGACGACGGGAAAGGACGGACTGGGCCGACAGACAAAAAGGCGGGGGGACGGGGAGGGGGGCCAAGCGGAGGGAAGAGGTAGGGAGACCCCGCAGCGAACAAGGGCAAGAAAGCACAAGGGCAAGGGAAAGCCACAGAGAAGGAGTGTGTGCACTTGACTGCACAGTACTGTGCGCGAACATACGAGCACTTGGTGTGCTTATCACACGCAGGAGGTATCTAATACACCACCGCCGTGTCTGGCCAGGGTCATCCTGTGCCCCATGTATGGTGTGTACGCCTCCTGGCCGAGGCCAGGAGGGTCTATCGGAGTCTATCGGAGGTTGAGGGGTGAGATCGAAAGGGATCGGAGAGCCCCCCACTGGGAAATCGGTTTCGGTTTCGTGTCCGTGCGTGCCGTGCGTGCGGGCGAGGCGAAGCTGCGAGGGCGGGCGAAAGGAAAGTCTCCTGTGGCTGAGGCGCGGCCAGACGAAATGATTATCCCTCCGGCAAGCGGTGGCCCGCGGTGTCCCGCCGGTGTCCCGCAGGTGTCCCGCTTGTGGCTGGGTCCCGGCTGGACCAAATGTTTCTCCCTCCAGCGCGGTGGCCCGCGGTGGCCCGCTGGTGTCCCGCCGGTGTCCCGCCGGTGTCCCGATGGTGCGAAAACGAAAGTGAGACCGAAAACGAAATCGATTGTGAGATCGATAGTGAGATCGATAGTGAGACCGATAGTGAGATCAATAGTGAAATCGATAGTGAGATGAATAGTGATGATATCAATTGTAAGATCGAGTGATATCGATAGGGAGATCGATTGTGGGATCAATAGCGAAATCCAGAGTGAGATCGACAGTGAGATCGATCGAGTGAGATCGATAGTGGGATCGATGGTCCCAAGAGCGAGCGGCAACGCAACAATCACCACTATTGCCCATTGCTGGCCCCCCTCCCCCCCCAACCTCCTTATCACCCCCAGGGTGGTCGGAAAGGTACACCACTGTGGGGCCCAGGACGGCCCTCGCCAGGCAGGGTAGTGGTGTATAGATGTTGTATGTGCTCGTCATGCATGTGCACATGCACTCAGACTCTGAAACTCACGGCCTCGTCCTCGTACAGGCAGCCGTCGGAGTCCACGTAGACCGCCAGGCTGCCAGCGAGCTCCCCGCTCCTGGACACGAGCGCCGCGATCGTCTCCGAGATCGTGGTTGGACCTGAGGCAGCATACAAGCAATTTAAAACATACATGGGCAAGTTCAGCAACCCTGAGTCTAAAAACGTTTTCATCTCTTGGGGCCGCACCTTTGACTTCCGCCGCCTTCCGCCGACCTTCCGCCGACTTCCGCAAGCGGAGGCGGCTCCGATTCACTTCCGCCGACCTTCTGCCACCTTCGAATCCTTCGATCCTCGAAGGCACGGCCCTATTTCGGAACGCCACAAAGGTATTTTGTATTGCGGTCGAGACGACGATAATAACAGGGGCCCTGGTACGACCACACTGCGCGACGTATCGCACCTGCTGCTGCCTTCTCGGACCTCCTCATTCGAGTATGCATGCGCACTGCACTCGCCATGACCAGGCGCCTGCACAAGGTGCTCCCAGTGCTAAACTGGGAGCAACTTGTGCTCGCGGTGCCTGGAAGGAATCCATCTCGTGCCGCTCCCCGCAGGAGCAAAAACCATCTCGTCCACGGGAGGCGCTTCCTGAGAGAAAACCATCTCGTCCACGGGAGCGGCCCGTCTCGCGCCGCTCCCGCGGGAAAGAACGACCCTCCTGACCAGATGGCGAAGCACCATCCCCTTCGCGCCCGAACGGCGGCCCGAGACAGCGCGATTCCTTGTGGGATCCCAGCCAGGACACGGCATGGATGAACGCCGCTAGTGTCGAGTCTCTCGTCGAGCCTTGGCTGTTGAAGTGGGCGTCTGCCCTCCAAGTACTATTAGATCGGGCATGTCCCCCTACAGCCAAACTTTGAGGGATAAAATGAAAAATAGTCACACAATATGCAAACATACACGGAACATACATACATACATACATACTAGAACCACGCGCGCGCTTCGCGCGCGCTTAGGTTCTAGTCCAGCCCATGGCGCTGTGATGAAACGGAGGTCGGGGTTTCCAGGCGACTCGCAATCGGAGAGGAGTTGTGTCCGTCGTGGGCCGGTTATGGGATGTCGCAGGGCTCCCTTGGGCTGGCTTTTGGGCTTCTCAGGCGCTCTTGTGGGGGGGGCAGGTGTTTGTGGCCCCGATGGCGCCGTCCAGGGTTGCCTCTTCGTTGTCACGACGCGCAGGTCTTGGTTTGTGGGTTCGTCGAGGAGATCGCTGAACAGGCTTGGGGCATTGACTGGCTTTATGATGAAATGTCGAGGCCGTAGGCTGCTGGTCTTTGGATGTCGTCACATGTCCTTGGCTTGTCTTGCCGAACATGTGCGGGAGGGACGAGGAATGACGGAGGACGAGACGAAAACTGCCCGCTTTTCTTTGTCGGCCCGCCCTGTGGTCCGAATAAGAGTTGCGGCGGCCCGCACTGCCACGCTGACGGACCCCCCCTCCCTCTGGCTTTTGGCCGGGGCGGCGGGGCAGGACAGGCGACGGGTACTTAGTACACGCTGTCGCCACACTGCTCAGGTCGGGGCCTCCTAGGCAGGACGACGCCATCTGCGCGAACTCGCTTGAGGTACTTGCCAGCAGTCCACCGGGGGATCTCCTGAAGGCAGATGATGGCACTCTCCATGCCTGAGCGTCGCGAACTGCGAACAATGCGGACTGCTTCGCAATGACGCCCTGAAATAAAATGCACGCGCTGCCACGCCAGCTGGCGGAGCACGTGCAAAAGAAACTCAGAGGACGGAGAACAAACTGCCTTAACACGTAATGCACGCGCTGTCACGCCGGGTGGTGGAGCACTTGCAGGAAGATCGAAGAAAGACGGACGAAGGAGGAACACAGCCGTGCTATAAAATGCACGCGCTGACACGCCAACTGGCGGAGCATGTGCAGGACGAAGGAGCGGTAACGGAGCACGGAGAGAAAGCCGCCTTGAAACGGCATGCACGCGCTGTCACGCCGGCTGGCGGAGCACGTGCAGGCGGGACGAGGAAAGACAAAAAGGAGGCAGAAAGACATATGGAAGAAACAGGAACTCTCTTGAGCCGTCTCGGGTCCTGCTGGGACGTGCCCAGACCGTTTTCGTGTTGTCTCCTCACGCTGTGATAGCTTACCAACCATGTTGGGGCATCTTGGGGCCCAGGTCTCTTTCGAAGTCTCTCGGAGCCCAATTGGAGCCTCTTCGGAGTCTCCTGGAGGTTTCCCGGAGTCCTCCTGGGGTCTCTTGGGAGCCTCTTTGTATTTTCTTTTGGGCCTCCCAGGGACCTCTTTCGGCCTGTCCTGTTGGGCACCTATAGGCGGCCTCGGTGGTCATTTTTGGGCAGAGGGTTCCAAATAGCAGCGCGTATTACCCCTCCATCCTGGGGCCCTCTTGGGCCGTCTTCGGGTTTTCTTGGTCCATCTTGGGGCCCTCTTGAGCCGTCTAGGGGCACTCTTGAGAGCCTCATGGGCAGTCTGTGGGCGTTTTTGGAGACCTCTGGGGTTGTCTTCGACTGCGTTAAAACTAAAAAACGAATATACTAAAAAGTGCAAGTATTGCTGAGGGGATGGAGCACTCTTGCGGGTCCTCTTGGATTGGTCTTGGATCGTCGTGGACGCCTCCCCTCAAGAGCCGCCTTGACGGCGGTCTGGAACGCTTGACCCGTCTGGGGGAGCGTTGGAACAAGAAAAAAAGAGAAATAAAAAAAAAACAAAAAAAAACAAAGAAAAAACACAAAAAAGAGAAAAAAGAATAGAAAAAAAAAAAAAAATAAAAAAAAACAAAAAAAACAAAAAAAAAAAAAAAAAAAAAAAAAGAAAAAAAAATAAAAAAAAAAAAAAACGAAGAGAAAGAAAAAGAAAAAAAGCGCGACGCCGACATCCGTCAAAAACGAAAGGAAATATCTAAATTTGGCCTCTCGGAACACTCGCCGGGCTGCTGTTTGAACCTAGTTGGGCCGTCTGGAACCTCTGGAAGCCGTCTTCAGGGCAGCTCGGGGCAGTCTTGGTCTGTCGGGACGGCTGTCTGATCGGCCTGGGACCTGTGTGGCCGCCCCCAACAGCGGGCCCTGGCCCCGAAGAGAGAGGTGCATGGGCAGGAAAAGTAAGCGCCGACGCTGCCGCCGCCAGGCACTGTGAAACTATGAAGCCACCCAGCTTCGCCAGTTCCACGGGCAGGTGGTCTCTAAAAATCTGTTCGTGCAAGCCCTTCTCGCCAAATTTTCGGGCCCGGGGCCTGCTCCCCCGGCCCCAGCGACAAGGGTCGCTGCCGCTCCACCCATTGACAGAGACAAAGAAAACATGTGCCAATCAGGCGGCGTCCCAGGAACGGTCTCAGGTTTTTGGACCGGAGGGCACATGTAGACGTACATGAAGGTGTCTGGGGAAGCCTCTCAGAAGCCCGTTGGGGCCCTCTTGGGGGTCTCCTGGGGGCTTCCTGCGAACCTCGGGGTGCCTCTTGGAAGCCTCTTGGGGGGGCCTCTGGAAGCCCTTGGGGGCCTGCCGCGGGCGTCTTGGGGGCCTCTTTGGGCCTCTTGGGAGTCTCTTAGGGGCCTCTTGGGAGCCTCCTGGGGCGGGGGGGCTGGAAGGTTCAGTTGGGTGTCTCCTCTTGGGCCCCTCTTGGGGCCCTTCGGGGACGCGTTTGGGCCGTCCTGGGCGCCTCTTGGACTGTCCGGGGCCCCTCTGGGGCCGTCTTGGGGCTCTCTTGTGGGCTTCGTGGGCCGTCTTGGGGCGGTCTATGGAGAGTCGGAGGTCGTAAAGAACGGTACGAACGCCAAAAAATCGAATATGGTAAAAATGTACGTTTTACGACGGGCGCGGGGCTACTTTTGCTTCTGAGGGCCGTCTGGGGGGATCTCTTGGAGGGGTCTTCGAGCGTCTTGGAGGCGTCTGGGGCGGTCTGGGGCGGTTCGAGACGCCTCTTGAGCCGCCGAAGACCGCTGGAGGTTGTCTTCAGGGTGGCTGTGGGCGGCCTGAAGCCGCCTGGACGGCCGTCTGGGCGCTCCGGGGGGCGACCTGGGGCCCGCCGGGGAGCGGGCTGGGCCCGACGTCCCCCCATTTGCGGTCGGGGCTGCGGCCCCGGGGCCCCCAGGCCCGGTGCGGCGTTATATGTATGTATGTATGTATGTATGTATTTGTAATATATATACATATATATAAATATATATCAGTATATATATATATAATATATATATATATATTGTATGTATAGTGATGTGTGTGTGTCCTCATAGGAATGGCACGATTTTTGTTTTTTGGACCTCTCTTGGGGTGCCTCTCGGAACGTCTTGGGGTGCTTTTGGGAGCCTTTTGGCGCCTCTTGCGGCATTTTGGCGCCTCCTGGAGCCTCTTGGGCCGGAAGCTCGGAATTCGAGGTTGGCTTTCTCCGTCTGGGACCCCTCTCGAACTCGTCTTGGGGCTCTCTTGGGCCGTCTTGGGGCCGTCCTGGCCACTCGTGCGCAGCCTTGGAGCGCTCCCGGAGGCCTCGTAGACCGTCGGCGTTCTTTGGGCGCCCTTTGGCCGTCTATGGACTCGCCGCCCCTGAAGAGTGCGAACTGCGAAAATGGCGAAAAAATATACGTTTACCCCAATATAAAATTGGAATTAAAACACGAGTGTGGAATAAAGAGGAGGGAAGATAGAATGGCACGATTTGTGCTTCTTGGGCCTCTCTTGGGCTGCCTCTCGGAGCGTCTTGGAGGCTTCTGGGACCTTCTTGGTGTCATGACAGGCGTCTTGAAAGGCATCTGGAGCCATCGGAGCGCGTTCCGAAGCCGCCTGCGAACGATCTTGGACGGCGTCCGGCGGTCCGACGAGCCTCCGGGCCCCCCGGAGCCCACATTTGTGGTCGGGGTCCCGGCCCCGGGCCCCCGGACCCGGTGCGCCGTTATATATATCTATATAATATATATATATATATATATAATATATATATATTATATATACACACAAACAAGGAAAAAAAGAAAAAAAATGGACAAAAAAAAAAAGAGAACAACCAAAGTAAAAAAAAAAAAAAGAAAAGAAAAAAAAACAAAATACAAGAATAAAAAAAGACCAAATAAAAGAAGTGAAAAGTAGCACACAAATAAAAGGAACCAAAAACAAGGAAAAGAAAAGAGAGTTGACAAGGGGGGGGGGGGGGGGGGGGGGGGGGGGCCCCCCCCCAACGTGTGTGCAAAATAACCAGCACCACTACATAATATAGAAACCAACACCAAATAATCCACGAACGGACACTGAGTTGAGGCAACATCCCGTGTCCCGACTCGCTCTGCCCAGAATCATAATGGAAAATACTGCAATCGGCGGTCGTGCAATAAAGAGCATACACTATGAGAACCCAATGCCGTACGTGTTCCTCCAACAAAGTCATACGGGCGTCCAGAAACGCATGGCTCTCTTCCTTGGTAGGTCCAGGCCCTGGTGCGGGTGGCGAACTGTTATCCCTGTGGGCCTGCGCGCCATCCACGTCATCGCCCCGATCAGTAGAAGCCTCGGAGATTTCGTCAAGCGCCTGCTGACGGTGGAGTGTGCGAGCTTCCTGCTCACGTCCCGTCACGCTTCTGGCGTTGCTGATGCGCTCATCGGGCTTGTCTGGGCACATCGTGTGCGTCCTGGAACGCGGGCGACTCGACAACAGATGTCCACGTACCCTCGGGATGTTCTTGCCGCGGCTGCGATTGCGCGCCTTGCTCTGGATGCGTCTCCGCGGCATGCTGGTGGATCGGCCCCTCCGCGGGGAAGAGCTCCTGGCACCAGCAGGTGCAGAGCTACGGGACGGGCCAGCTGCTTTCGAACGCCCAGTCTTAGAGCGCCACTCCCAGAAGTTCCAAGGGTTTGGATCCACCCTCCATAAGTAAAGTTCTCGAGCAAGCACGTCATCGATGTCGGGCTTCACGTCCTGCGGGCGCGCGCGATCATCGGGGCAGCTGCGAGGAGGGGAGTCACGGCGTGCACGACGGAAACCACGATCCCAATCCCTCCGCAGTTCCTCGCCGCTACGAGTAGCCATCGCGCGCGAGGTCGAGTGAGTGCGTCTACGCCAAGCCAAGCTCACTGCAGAAATGGTAGGCGGAGACAACTCACAGCAACAGGGAGATTCCTAGGGAACGGATGCGAATGTACTCTGAGTACCTCAATAATTCTGGCCCCCCGGACTACAGGGGCCCCCCGGCTTTCAAGGGCCCCTCCCCCGGACTACAAGGGCCCCCCCCCGGACTACAGGGACCCCCCCCCGGACTACCAGGACCCCCCCCCGGACTACAAGGGCCCCCCCCCCGGACTACAGGAACCCACCCCCGGACTACAATGACCCGGAAGCAAGGAACAAAAACGCGACAAGGGACCGGAAACGAGGAACAAAACTTGAAAAGCGAAAGGGGGCGGGAAGGGGAAGGGAGCACGCGTGCAACTGTGGCCGCTTTGCCTGGCCCTCTGCATTGCCAGGCGCGCATCTCCGCGGTCGTCGAGCGGGACGTCGCCCCGCGAAGATCGCGCCGCGCCCCCGCCCCTCCCCCCCCCGGGCTACAGGGCCCCCCCCCGGACTTCAAGGGCCCCCCCCCCCGGACTACAAGGGCCCCCCCCGGACTACAAGGGCCCCCAAAAAACCCACCCCGGACTACAGGGGCCCAACCCCCGGACTACAGGGGCCGCCCCCGGACTATTGCGCACCCCAGAACTATTGAGGTACTCAGAGTAATCTCCTACCTCTGCTGGGCCACAATGGCTACGGACAACCGGCAAGGAATCGCAATGTCTTGGACTCGAATATGGCACAGTTCTTCTGGACATACACTCTCTCACACATCGATGCGAACCTTCGTCCCTGGTCACGACTCCCTGGAAACAGCAGTCGGGGAATCCCAAGAGCCCGCGCGACTACCAAACCCGAAAGAGCCAAGTAGAAAGAGAGTCCATAACGAAAACCGAGAATAAACGAATCACCGAAAGCAGACTCACACGCGCCGGCCAACAAACCAAGGCCCAAGAAAAGCGAGATCCCAAGGACACAACTGAAAAGGAATCAAACGAGGCAGAGGCGGAGGATGAGAACTCTGAGAGGACAGCCACTTTTTCCCAGCGACGCACTCCTTGCAGTGTAGCGTCTGGCGATTGTGCAGCTTGTGGTTCCGCAGTAGCGCTGGGTGGAATTCACAGGCGCCGAAACTGCACGAGCACCTCTGGCACATCTACGTCGCGAGATCCGACGGGTCGAATCCTTGCGCAGGACATGCCTTCCACGCCAAAGTTGTGCCCCGAGAAGACGCGTGATGCCTGCGTTCACTCTTCGACCAGTACTTCAGCTCATATGCCGTTCTTCAGGACCTACGTCTCTGTCATATTCCTTGTGAATCCCCGTCTTTTGTCACAACCCCCTGGAGTCTGCAGTAATGAAATCCCAGGAACAAGCTGACAGGGGCCAGCCTAGGTTCCAGGGTCACCGAAAAGCGAGCTCTCCGGGGCAAAAATGTAAAGAGGCAGAGGGGCCACAGAAAAGCAAAATCTCAGAGGCCGCAGGGAGAAATCTCGGTGATCGGTGCTCTCTCAATCTCAGCGACCGACAGGGAAATAAGTTAGAATATGCCATTCCCGTACTTGAAGATTGCATCGGACCGCGGGGGGAGAGAGGAGGGGCGAGGGAGTTGGGAAGAAAGGGAGGACATGGAGACACAGCGATGGGCACGACATCCGCGCACATTTCCACTGAAGCATGCGCGGCGCAGTACAACCTGCGGTTGTCCATTCAGCACACTTGGCCTTAGACTCGCAGCCGTCGCTTCTGCGACAAACAGAGATGCGACGATCCCGCCCCGACGATGTGACCTTTTTGTTCACGACGTGGACCCCCAGTGGTCAGGGCCACGCCCGAGGTCCGAGATGGGACCTCTAAGGCCGAACATAGAAAAACCACCCGTCGTTGAAAAAACGCCAATCCAGACGAATCACACCCGTCGCTCACGCGCCACACCGCCTTCTGCACCGCCCTGATCGATTCAAACGCTTGGGAAGGGGTGGAATGAGAACCTGTGCATATGTATGTATGTACACATTATAGGCAAATACATATATATATATATGGATATATATATATATCCATATATATATATATATATATATATGCATCGACACATGTCCACACGTGCAGTATTTGCATATGTATAGATACATACGACGCCCCCGACCCCTCATAGTCAAACTTTGAGAGACGACATATGAGAGACGAGATATGAGAGGAACTGACTATATATGTCAACAGTATCTATCACAAACATACGTCCATCATGCGAACACTGCAAAGAGACGACACGGCGTGATATAACTCGAGAGGAGCGTGCTTTTTCAACCCATGGCCCTGAGTCGGGCCCAGAGCGGGAAATTAAAAGACCCTTGACATAGAAAACCCTGGAGTAAACAAGAACACGCCGGACAAACCCGAGCACCGCGCGGACGGTCGCCGATTTTCCGTAGAGAAAGCGACGGTTATTTCCGCAAAACTACGCCGCGCGTTGGTGCGGCCACGCGTGTCGACCAACTGGGTGGTCTTAGTTCATCGGAGAAAGTAGAGATCTCCAGTGAAGAAGAGGTGGAGGGGATGGGCGTTCTTTCGAAAACGCTGATTGGCAGGTGTACGTCTCCGGGTCACTCGAGTCGACTCCTAGCGCACGGCATGCTTTGCAAACCAAAGTAGAGCCCTGAACAGACGAGGATTGTTGCGTTCAGACTTCGAGGAGTACTTCAGCTCATACGCCGTTGTAAATTGCTCGCACCGCAGCCCCCAGAAGCCGATCGTAGTGAAAAACGTCACGTTGTAATTTTTGCACGACGATAGGAGGTCTGACCATCTGGACGGCGGCCACCTAATGGCGCATTTCACGACCGCGGCCGCGAGGGATAGGTGGATGAAGATGAGGGCTCTTTCCAAAGCATATGGTCGCAATCTCGCACTGCGTCCCTGGGCGCGTGTCGCTGCACGAGCGATATGCGGGGGCGATGTAAGACGGCTGGGATTTAGGAGGGTGAGTCGTTTCCTCGAAGTTGCGCATGCGTTAGCCACTTGTCGGCGCATGTCCCCGCGCCAATCCCTCGCTGCACGGATCGCCCACGGATCGAACCAGATCGAGAGGGGAGGGGGGCGAGAAGATGGCAAGCGCAGCGTGGGCGGCCCTTCTGCAGTAATGCAGCGGCCAGCTTCAGGTGTTAATTCTACGGGAAGGGAAAGGAGGAGTCATTCTGATAAGAAGCGTGAATGAGGAGGTTGCTGAGGCGAGGGAGTTGGCATCACCAGAAGCGTGGGCAAGGAAGGAGAGACGCGGCCTGGCGGCCTGCAAGCTCGCTCCGAGCAGTACCGTGCCAGAGCGGCGGCTGCTATTATTCAGCCTACGATCGCTCGAATTCGTTTGGGTGCTTGTGCGTGTTGCGCGTGTGTGCGCATACGCGTGCGCGCGCGTGCGCGTGCGTGATGAGGGGAGAGCCGAGGGAAAGCGGGAGGCGAGCAACTCGTAGGACGGCGCATATCCAGCGTCATCCTGCTCGACCCGCTCGCGAAATCACCGCGGGGGGGATCGATAATGGCAGAAATTAGGTGTGTATATGTGCGTGTGTGCGTGTGTGCGTGCGTGAGAGAGAGAGGAATGCGCGCGCGTGCGCAACGCGTGCGCGCGCGTGCGCGCGCGCGCGTGGAGGGCGGATGGGAGGAGGGAGCAAGAGGCACGCGGAGTTACAGACCTGCGTGTCTGAAATGTTCGATCCTCTCCAAAATTTGACTGCGTGCGTGCGTAATTGCGTGCGTGTGCGTGAGTGCGCGCATGCGCGCGCGCGCGCGCCGTGCGTCCTCGCGGCGCGAGTTGCGCCGCATCAGCTCAGGAGGAGGACGAAAACCATCGTGGGGATGTTAACCTGCACGTGGGACAGGACAAGAACCATCGTGAAGATGTGAACCTGCACGAGCCTCGCGGACGAACACCACCGTAAAGATGTTCACCTGCACCATCGTGAAAAAGTCGGTCATCTGTACGCGAGTACCCACGAACGCCACGCCGACCTTTCACGGTGAGCATAGCCCCGTGGCGGGGCCACGCCGAAACTGCAGGATTGCTCGGGCCCCGGGCTCGATTGAGCCCCTTCCTTCGCTCTCCAGCGCAGAGGGGGGGCCGACAGGAGGGGGCGGGGCGGGCGGGGTGAGAGAGCGGGAAAGAAAGGCTTCGTTGATATTACAATTACCCACGCACGTGCTCCATTTCCTCCGCATCTACGCCGGGGAATCGAGGGGGGGGGCCCTGGGTAAAGCGGAGTCGAGGATCGCTCGGGCCCTGAGCTGGGATGATCGAGCTGGCGGGTTTGTTTCCTCCGCGCTCCTGGGAGGAGGGGCGAGGGATGGGAGAAGGGAGGGGGGAGAGGTGGATTGGATAGCGGGAGAAAAAGGACGCTTCCTCCGCTGATACTCATAGACGCACGCTCACACACCAACACACACAAACACACACACACACACACACACGCAAACATACTCACCACGCAGTTTGGACATTCCCTCCACCCCCAGGCCCGAAAAGGGAGAGCCCCGTGCGGGCGGCGGAGGCAACGCGGACTGGAGGATGGTTCGAGCCTTGAGCTCGACCGATTGAGTTAGTAAGTTATTTTTCTTCCGCCCTCCACTGAGAAGGATAAGATGGAGGGGGCAGAGGGAAGATGGAAACAGCGCAGGTTACATCGGAAGAAACAGCGAAGACGAGATAACAGGAACCGGCTCAAATACCAAGACACAGCCAGGGCAGTGAAGGGAAGAGCCCGAACGACTTTCACCAGAAGGAGAGGCCCGAACGCCTCACAGCAGGACAAAAGGCACCAACGACTCACACCACGAGGAGCCCGAACGACTCACCCACCAGGAGGGGCCCCAACGACTCACACCAGGACGACGGGCCCGAACGATTGACATCTCATGGAGCCCGAGCAACCCACGCGCAAGGAGGCGCCCGAACGATTCACACCAGGACGAAGCGCCCGAACGACTCACACCACGAGGAGCCCGAACGACTCACACACAAGGAGGGGCCCGAACGACGCACATCAGGACGACGAGCCCGAACGACTCACACCACGAAGAGCCCGAACGACTGACGCACAAGGAGGTACCTGAAGGACTCACGCCAGGAAGGACGAGAGGAGCAGAGCCCGAGAAAGGCCAGATCTCAGGGACTGACTCAAACGAATCTAAAGAGGCAGAGGCGGACGGGCAGGACTATGAAGGGAACACGTATGTGTTTGCACGGGCCGAACTGCTCAGGCGCTCAAACAGCGTGTAGATAGATCAGGAGTCCACGAGCAGCGATATCACCCAGCACTGATTCAGCGCTGTGCCGCAAGCTACACCCACCAATGAATCTTTACTGAGAAGAGTCACCAGCACCATCACTTCCGAGGGTAACCAGCACCATCACATAGTATAATAACCAGAACCCAAAGATCCCAAGTACGGAGTCCAGCCAGATCGCAGTACGAGTCCCGCAAGCGGGATGTTTCCTGTACTGGAGCTCACTCGAAGCGCCTCGGAATATGAGTAGAGGCATACCCACCATTGGCTACATACCGATGCCCACGCCGTGTATAAAGCATCCACGGTCCCCTTTGACGCAACATCCAATGTCCAGCGTCTCTGTAAAAAACTAGTAGTCACGTATAGAAGCGACACATCTTCCGTGGTACATATTCACATCACCACTACTGGAAGAAACATCATACACCACGTGAGCCCACTGCATGATACCCCCATTTCACTGAATAGTAAGCTGCTCGATTTTCGCGGTGCCCAACATAGCAGGCTGGCCGATAGGGATTATCATCGCATCCTTCAACAGATAAAGCATGCCCTTGGAATTGCCAATGGCCGCGCGGCCTGTGCCGTAGTAGACCGCGACGTCCTGGGAGTTCCGCAACGCCTGGGACTCCGCATTGTGCTTCATGGCGCAGCAAGTGAAGTACAGACCACTGTTGTCCACTATATCGAATATCCGTTTCGCGTTCCCCCCTTGTGACATCTCCATCGATTGCAGATCCATCACTTTACCTTTAACCGACAACCGGAATGGAAGGTTTAATTTGTTGCGGAGAGAACGAAAGACGGAAACGCAACAATCCGAAGGAGGAACCGCATACCTCATCTGGATGAGATTCTCCGGCGTCGGGCCAGACAGAACCTGCACTGTCGTGCCCATCTCTCCGCCAACAGCTTCGATAGACGTCAACATACGAATCCGCGTCAGCAACTCCCCATTCCAATTGTTCTTCCCCGCTCCCTGGATGCGAACCTTGGACAGGTCCACGACGCACGGAGCAACGTCGCCCCGATGGCGACGCTCCTGTACAGCGCGCCAGATGCTGCAGATATCTTCAGCGGCGTCACCCCATAAGCACGCGCAGATGGGCCCCGTCTTGTCCACCATGACCACGTCGGCCGCCTTCCCTTCCGAAGACGGATCCTTCCGCTTCCGCGGAGAACCCTCCGCGTAATGTACATCGCGAGGACTACTGTCGCATACAATTACAACGCCCTGAAAATGACACCTGCCACCCTCCTCGGAAGACTGGAGAATTGCCAGCGCAGATTTGTGGAATATCTCTTCGGACGCCGACGACGTCGGACCAAACGCCTGCCCTGATATAATCAGATCGATGCCAGACAAAAAAGCTAAAAAAAAAAAAAACACAAAAGGACAAAGAAAAAACAAGTAATAAAGAAAAGAAATAAAAGAAGACAACAAAAAAAAAAAAAAAATAAAAAAAAAAAAAAAATAGACATAATAAAAAAAAAAAAATAAAAAAAAAAATCAAAAAAAGAAGAAAAAGAAAACAAGAAAAATAGAAGAAAAAAAAAAAAAAAAATAAAAAAAAAATAAAATAAAAAAAAAAAAAAAAAATAAAAAAAAAAACTAAAAAAAAAAAAAAAAAAAAAAAAAAGCAAGAAAAAATAATCAAAAAGAGAATAAAAAAGACAAAAAAAAAAAAAAAAAAAGAAAAAAAAAAAAAAAGGAAAAGAAAAAAAAGCAGAAGTCGACGCCGCATCCGAAAGTTGCGTCGACTCATGGGCCACGGCGCTCTCCTCGGCGTGTCGGAGAACAGAGTCCCCAGGACGAACCTCCGATACGCTTTTCCGCAATAAGGTGTGATACCGAGATGCCGCAAATGTTTCTGGTGGCCCCGATGGTAGCATTTTTCCCTGCTTGGCCGTGCGCGATTGCACAAATTGGCTGTATTGCTCCGTGACTCCTGTCACGGCGAAAGTGTGATCAGCCGCGGATGCCTTCATGAGGAGTGTTTTACGTTCCGCTGCTTCGTCTGCGGAGGCTCCAAACCCCGGGTCCACCAACGGCCGAAACGCCGCGGGCGCGCCTAAGCCAGTCCCCGCGTTCTGGTGCGCACCCGCATCGCAGGTCTCGCGCACAATGCGAAAGTAGTCCTCTTCCAAAAGCTCTCTGAAGCTATCATGAGCGCCCGCTCCACTGAGTTCGACAACTTCAGCCATCTCATCCCAAGCTAACCACACATTCTTGTCCAGCAACTCCAACAATTCTGGCCTCATTGCCGACGCGGCATCACGAGCGAAAGCCTTCTTCTCCCCGTCACCGATCGACTGCGGGGAGATCAGCGGGATGAACGTTGACTGGGCAAACCGGTGAGCACATGTCCTGGCGTCAAGCGACTGCTTGGCGAGAAAATCACGCACGTGATTGTAATAAAAATTGAGTGCCCACTGAGCATGCTTCTCGTCAATCGACGCCGCTGGATCTCCAGGACTATTCTTAAAATATTCCTTTTTCTGAAAATCAATATAGCTCTGAATCTGCACAGCATCCAGCTTCTCCACGAGACTCATGGCTTCCTCGGCGGCATTATGCTCGTCGTCCGCTCGCAAGTCTATCGGGCGAATGAGCGGGAACTCTTTCGCCGCCGCTCGAGAGTGCAGATCATCCACCAAACTGGAAATGTCCTCCGCCAAGTCCTCGCCGCCAGAGCCTGCTTCGCCCAGCGATTCGAGCAGCGCGGTCAAATCGGCCCTCCCAAACGATTTGTCGAAAGGCCAACCCCTGCTCTCGAAAATCTTCTTCAGCGACTCCACTGTTACCGTTTCGGCACTCACGCCGCTACTCGCGCCATCGGCGCGACGCCCTTCAAGGAACACATGCAAGCCCTCAACGCCAGGCTTCACGATAGCTTTCTCTGCCGCGCCGTCCGCTTGCACAGCAATGTTGTCGAAAGACGCCTCCACAGCCTCGTGGAAGGTCTGAGTGGTCATGGCCCGAGTACCGTGCTGGAGGATTGGCCACCTCGCCAAACGAATTGAATGGGAACAGCGGTGTGAACAACGGCTGAGCTACGCTCACTACCGATGATCTCGCAGGCGCGCTCGACTCGAGCCCGCGGCTCGCAACAGTGCACCAACTTTGCATGCAGGAACCATTCGTGCACTAAAAACCACGAGTAACGCACTACATACAACAACCAAATTTGCGACGAAGATCACTCACATCTGCAACGACATGACACCCTACGGCACCCAAATCTCCCTCGTCCCACATGCGTGGTGGTGTGACATGATGTAGGATATGGAATGGTAACTATGATGAGGATGTCAATGATACGATGTGATATGATATCACGGGTGACGCACCACCTGATCGATGTGAGGCACGATGACATGTAATTTCTAGGTTGGCCGATGCGTTGTTGAATGATGTGTAGGATTTTAATAAGTGGTGATCCTGTAGGATGCTGTTGTATGACACGTAAGGTGGCGTTGGCAGTCACGATCGAGAGACACATGCCCAGGGCCGCGCCCCTTCTCTAAAGCAAAGAGTGGGAAGGCACAACACACACTCACTCAACACAAGCACTCTCGATGCGAGTGCGAGTTGACCATCACCAAATACCATATGTTCCAATACGTGTACTCGTTGCCTTCTGTGCAGCTTCCCAATGACGAACCACCCGTGATTCTCCCTCTCCCACCACGGACCCCATCCTCTTGTCAATGATCATCATGTGCTTATTGCGGCTCTCCCGACGATGAGGCTGCCGACATTGTTCCCCTGATGATTTCCATCCTCTTGTCTATCTCCATCTTGCGCTTCGCGTAGCCCACCGGAGGAGGGAAGGTGTCCTCAAGCTTCTCTGGCATCTCGGGCATCTGAGCCTGCGAGGTGTTTACGTTGTCGTAGCCGGGCCACACCTCATAATCTGTCCATCCGTAGACATGCCGCGTCTCTGGCTTGTTCTTGTCCCAAGCAGACTTACCTCCCTCTAGAGCCTGCCGCCCGTCGCGGAGCTCTGGAGGCTACGACAACGTCAAAGATCTCTTTATGTTGGTCCTTAGCGATCTCCTCGCGACGCGCAACCCTCAAGTTGAACTCGATCTCCTCGATGTTGTCCGTCTCGTCGGCTTGCGGCTTTATGTGTTCTTTGACCGATGGCCAGATGAGAGGGAGCTCCGTCTGGTATTTCAACGTTCCGTGGGCCTCGATGAGCTTTCCTAGGCCTGCCGTGATTCCTTGGATCTGATCCTCGATGGTACGAATGTTCTCCGCTACCATGTAGATCTCCTGCGTCGTCTTCGCTTTGGCCATAGCGCTGCGGATCAAGCACGTCGTGAGCTGCAGCTTGGAGGCCTTCAGGCCGTCGATTTGAGATTCGAGTACCTTCAGCATTTCCATCGTCACCTTGCGGCTTCTCTGCAGGTTGGTCTCGTGCAACTCGATCACGTAGCTTACGTGCCCAATCACCTGATCCTCTGTGTCGCCCCGATACATCGGAGCTTCTTGTGGTACTTCTGGGAAGCAGACATCCCCAGCTTGACGCGTCCGAACGTCCGCGCGGAGCTAAGCTCACAGCGAGAATGATGGGCAAGTAGAAATCACGGGCACTGGGAAAATGCTCGAAAACACCACCAATTGCAGCTGCCTGAGCCGAGCTCACAGGCGCACGTCAACACTGTGAGCCACAACGGCAACAGCGACGACAACGCTGCAGGAAATGAGAACTTGTCCTATCATGAACGCGTGAGTGACATCGTAGATCTTGCCAGAAGACTGCGGAGCCTCGCGAGGGCCATCTTGGGGCAATATTGGAGCCTCTCGGTGCCTCCTCGGCGGTTCTTTGAACAACTTTGGAGGAAATCGATCAAAGCAAAGGATAACTTCAATTCTTACGTTTCTCGCATCCCCACCAACACACCTGACAACAACAACTCTTGCAAAATATGCCGACAATCGTTTTTTTTTTGTTTTGCAAACGTGTCTCCGCTTCGCCCCGCAAATCTCCCTTGTTATGCCTTCCTCCCGTTTTCTTGTACGTCCTCTTTGCTGGTGTGAGTCGTTCGGGCTCTTCTTCCTGGTGTGAGTCGTTTGGGCTCTTTGTGGGGTCAGTCGTACGGGCTCTTCGTCCTGGTGTGAGTCGTTCGGGCTTCTCGTGGTGTACGTTGTTCGGGCCCCTCGTGCGGGTGTGAGTCGTTCGGGCCCCTCCTCCTGGTGTGACTCGTTCGGGCTCCTCGTGGTGTGAATCGTTCGGAGCCTTCGTCGTAGTGTGAGTCGTTCGGGGTCTTCGTGGTGTGAGTCGTTCGAGCGCCTCGTCCTGGTGTGAGTCGTTCGGGCCCCTCCTGATGATGCGAGTCGTTCGGGCTCTTCGTGGTGTGAGTCGTTCGGGCCCCACGTCCTCACGTCCTGGTGTGAGTCGTTCGGGCTCCTCGTGGGGCCTCTTGGGAGACTCCAGGAGCCTCCTGGGGCCTTCTGGGAGCCTCTTCGGAGCCTCTTGGGAGCCTCTTGGGGCCTCTTGGAGCCTCTTGACGATCCTCTTGGGACCCTCTGGAGAGCCCCTTGGGCGCTTCTTGGAGCCTCATGGGGACCTCTGGGGATCTCTTGGAAACTCTTGGGAGCCTCCTGGGGCCATTTTGGCGCCTCTTGCGATCACTTCGGAAGCGCCAAGGAGCGCTGCCCCCTGACAAAGACGAGCTGATTTCAAAATCCCCCCCCCGTCGAGGCCAGAATCCTCGCGAGGGTCGTCGTTTTTTTGGCTATCCCAGGAGTTGACATTGACCCCCCTGGCGACCCGCCGGGCCCCCTGTCCACTCCCAGGGGGAGGAGGTGGGGGGAGGTGTCTCCTCGGCGCTTCTTTGGGCTACTTTGGAGGAAATCTATCAAAGGAAAGAAGACCTCCAATTAGTGCCGCCCCCTGGGGCCAGTGATCCTGATTAATCCTGACGAGCCACGACTGGGTACTTGAGAACTCTCACGAGTAGACGATGAAAGGCTCATTAGATGAAGTTGTCTACTCAGGCAGTCCGTGGCCAGACGGCATCGACACATGAGATCGCGTTGCCCAGCCGTCCAGCTACAGCGGACCCAAGACACTGTAATCTTGGGCCCACGGCCAACGACGTGCAGCCTCGCAGAAGATTAGCGTGAACATGAAATGAGAAGACCTCCGAGACTGGGTGAGGAGGAGGAGGAGAACAAAAAATGATGGGAAAGAGTGAGCGAAGGGAAAGATAAGATGGCGACAAGGAGAAGGAGGGGGGAGCACGAATGCGATACATTGCACGAATGTCGCGCTGACCTCGCTTTTCAACTTCGAAGGTGTGGGAACACAGAACCAGAAGAAGATTGCTCATTGGCGGAAGCGATTCCATGTGGGCAAGTTAAACTCACAACCACTGTTCAACACTGCGAGACAGAATGGCAACGGCGACGATAGAGCTGCAGGGCAGATAAACTTCAACCAATTCTGAGCGGCTTGATGACTTCGTGTCCCTTCTTGGAAGCCTCTCGGATCATCACGTGGCTGCTGCGAACCTCTCGATTACACCCGCGGCTTCCCCGGAGCCTCTGCCAAGCGAGAGCGACAAGATGTCTTTCCCTGGATGATCCCCAGCTGCTTCCCCTGGATTACCCCTTCCGCCATCTCATCCACACACGAACCCATTTCGAAAAAACGCCATCCGACAGCTGATTGCAGCTCATAGACTCCCACACCTCATTCCCTCCCCCTCATTCATGACTATCCATGCCCACCCTCCTCCCTCAGGCGCGGGCGCGCACTGCGCCCATGACATGAATGTTGCCCGCTGGGCGCTCCACCCGCATCTCACGTGCCTGTCAACGAAGGGAAAAGTGAATGAAGAAAAGGAAGCGCGATGATTGCGACTACTGCGAGTAGCTATGCTCCACCTGCGCATTGGATGCAAACGCGCGCTATGCCATCGAACCGATGGTCTGCGCATTGCGCACCATACTGCGGACATGCCGCTGCAATGACAAACGTGGACATCGCCGACGAAATGAAACACTTTACTGCACCAGCTGAAGTGCGCCACGCATGCCTCGGTACTGACAGCTGTTCGCAGATGCACAGTCCGCAGAGTGCCACGCACAGAGCTGCGATTCTAGGTCGAGCATCTCGAACGGGGGCAGCCGCGGCGGCCCGGCCCAATCTGCACGGATGCTCTGGGACAGCAGCGCCAGCGCTGTGTCAGCCCCAGCCAAAGTCACGCTGCGACCCACGAGCAGGCGAAGTGCCGCCAAGCCCGTAGAACCAGCGAAGCCGCGAGTCGCAACTGTCGTCCACTGCGCCAGCTCCAGCTGCGACAACAACACCGGCATGAATTTAGCGGTGTATCCCCCGATTGGCAGACCAGACCCGCACAAGGCATCCATGGCGCTCGACGCGTTGCCTTCTTGAAGTAGAGCGTACGCCCCTGGAGCTCGGCGTGCAACACCAAGCACTAAGGATGCAAGCCGTCGCCCCTTAAGGGGGGAGGAGGGGGGGGGGGGGCCCTGGAGCACACCCCCCTTTTAAAGTCCAAGGTGATCCACTGGCGCTCTTTCCACATCATCCGCGCGCGTTTGCAAAAGTCGCCTCGCCAGATCGCCGCGATAGGATGCGGTCGCGAGGGGAACGCCCACGGCCTGCACCCATGCGTCCGTCCAGAGCAAGCAAGCAGCGCCGACAGCAGCCAAAAGGGCTACACCACTCGTCTTCAAGCGCCGCAGCTGACAAATAACTGCGTGTACATCACGACTGACGAGACACGACGCGCCGAACGGGATGAAGTCGACGACCCTGTCGCCGCTCCGAATCGCCCGCTGGCTGCGCCTGATGGTGCTCTTGAGCCACGAGACGAAGCTCGCACTTCTGACGTTGGTCATTCGGCGCAGGATATTGTCCTTCCGCTCCCGTAGGCCTGATTGCTGGCGAATTTGGCGAGCATGGTAGCGCCCAGACATTTGGATGTGATACTTGCACTTCCGCGTTCCGAAATCCATGTTACATATTCTGCACCGCCACGGAGGGCCCTCGCACTCCCTAAACATAGCTCACACAAACATGTCCATGCCCACCGCTCTACGATGTTGGAAGGAGAAGCGTCCGTGCGGAGCTAAGCTCACAGCGAAAATGATGGGCGGAAAGAACTCACAGTCACTGGGAGACTGCTCGTACGCAGCAGCGAGTGCTGCTGGCCGAGCTAAGCTCACAGCCACGCTTCATTACTTTGAACCAGAATGGCAACAGCGACGACAACAGTGCAGGAGATAAACATTTGGGATTCTCCTGAGACCCTGGAAAACTTCCTGGCCCTTCCTAGAAGCCTGTGAGGCCTGACGAAGTGCTGCGTACCCTCCGCTTTTCCTCGGCCAACTTCTCGGGGGCCTCTCAACCCGAATCGGCCCCATGTCGGACCGCATTCTTTTGGGGCCCCGCTGGCAGCTAAGAAATACCGAGAAAAAGAGCTCAGACATATATCAGGAAGATCACCAACCATAAGAAAGGAGCAGGACGACAAGGAAGGGGAATAAGTGCGTCGACAATGGGTCGCCGTCCACGGCGTTGTGGTACTCATCGTCGCCGTCGTGGTCGTCATCTTCGTCGACGTCGTCATCCCTTTCAACCCACTTGGCACGAACTGAGAATGCCCCCGAGAGGCCCCCAAGAGGCCCCCAAAAGGCCCCAAGAGTCTCCCAGAGGCTCCCCAAAGGCCCCACGAAGAGCCCCAACGACTCACTCCAGGACGAGGGACACCAACAACTCACACCACGAGGAGCCCGAACGACTCACACACAAAGAAATGCCCGAGCGACTCACGCCGAACGGGCGCCCCGAACGACTCACGCCCCGAGGAGCCCGAACAACTCACATGCAAGGAGGCGCCCGAACGACTCACACCAGGACGAAGGGCCCGAACGATTCACACCACGAGAAGCCCGAACGACTCACACTCAAGGAGGAGCCCGAACAACTCACACCAGGACGAGGGGCCCGAACGACTCACACCACGAGAAGCCCGAACGACTCACACACGATGAGGGGCCCGAAGGACTCACACAAGGAAGGACGAGAAGCCCCAACGACTCACATTACGAGGAGCAGGAACGACCCACATATCTGCAACGAAAGAGAACCGAACTCTTGCATTATCTCTCAGGATCAGGAACCCCAACGACTCACACCACAAGGAGCCCGAACGACTCACAAACAAGGAGAGGCCTGGCCGACTCACACCAGGACAAGCTGCCCAAACGACTCACACCACGGAGAGCCCGAACGACTCACACGCAAAGGCGCGCCCGAACGACACACACCAGGACGAGGGCCCGGAAGGACTCACACCACGAGGAGCCCGAACGACTCACACACAAAAGGAGGCCCGAACGGCGCACACCAGGAGGAGAGGCCCGACCGACTCACACCACGAGGAGCCCGAACGACTCACACACAATGATGGGCTCGAAGGACTCACACAGGAAAAGACGAGGGGCCC